CCTCCCTGTTTTACTCTTAAGCCCTGAGATGAATACAGTATGGCCTCAACTAGGAGTCCTTCTCCAGTCCTCAGACTCTTATTGAAATATAATCTGGGGCCCACTGGATCATTTGGAGTGGTTTTTGCTGTCATTTGACATCTGTGGTCCCAGGTAGGATTCTTGAAGAAATTAGATTGGCTTTAGGAGCATGGGGACCAGACCCAAGGTTGAGTCTTGCCAGTGTGCTCTGCGACTTTGGCCAAGGTGCCCAACTTTTTTGAGCCCTCTCTACCCTGCTCCCCTGTTATAAAATAAAGGTATCAACTACTTGCTTGAAAGATTAAATGAGCTCATACATGTAAATGTTAATATTAGTTTTGCAGTAATCTATTTTGTCCTCTATTTTTTTCTTCCTCGTGGCCCTTAGTTCTCTTTTTACATAGTTATTTTCAGTAAGGTCTTAATTAAAATCCTTTTAGCCTTGGCTGGTGTGGCTCAGTGGACTGAGTGCTGGCCTGCGAACTGAAAGGTTGCTGGTTCAATTCCTGGCCAGAGTACCTGCCTGGGTTGTGGGCCAGGTCCCCAGCTGAGGGCTTGTGAGAGGCAACCAATTGTTTGTGTTACACATCGATGTTTTTCTCCATTTCTCTCCCTTTTCCTTTTTATAAAAATAAATAAAATCTTTAAAAAAATCTTGTTTTTAACGAATCTGTCGCATGGTTGGAGTGTCGTCCCGGGCACTGAAAGGTTGCAGGTTTGTTCCCCAGTTGGGGTGTGTGCAGGAGGCAACCAATTGATGTCCACCCCCCTCCACTTCCTCTCTCTCTAAAAGCAGTCAAAAATGTCCTTGGGTGAGGATTTAAAAAAACAGTGGATTTGGGGGGACATATTTATTCATAATATTATTTATGTCCAGCCTCTATGTAGTGACATTATTGAATGCCTCTTTATTGAATGGTTGAAATGAGTGACATGAAAGGATGGTATTTGTGTTATTGGGATATTTTTCAATATGTGGTTTTTTTTTTTTTACTTTTCCCAATCAGTACCTTTGAAGGAGAAGAGACTCATGGATGTCAAACTAGGGGAGCTGCCAAGCTGGATACTGATGCGGGATTTCACCCCTAAAGGCATTGGTGGAGCATTTCAAAGAGGTCAGAGCCTTACGGATGTATGTAAACAAAAGCAAATCTCTGGTTCTTTAGGTTTCTTTTTCCTGCGAATTTGGGTAGTAAAGGCCTTGTCTCAGACCAGTAAGTTATATAGGGGACAGGGAGAGATTATTAGCTCTTGAATTTCCATGCTTGATCTTGTCAGACTAGCTTTGAGATATTTCAGCCAAGAAAATGTTTTTTTATTGCTCAGAATTGGTATCATTGCCTTCATCTTAGAGAAAGGTCTATGAGCACTTTCATATCATGAGACTTCTTTAGGAGGATAATGAGTGAAGCATAGTGGACATCAGTCTAAAGTATAATGCTCATCTTCCTGCCAGGCAGAACTTCCATGATGAATATTTGAAATGATCTTTCCTCCAGGTCTTTGTATTTTAAAGTGCATAGCTAGTCAGGCCAGTCCTTTCCAAGAATAAAGACCCATGTCCTCCCATGGGGGCCTGCATGGTCTCCAGCCTCCTCAGGGGCTTTTCTCCTGTGTTTTCTGATTCTGGCCTCTGTGTAGCTCTTTTGTGTGCCACCTTCCTACCCTGAGTGTCCCCAAAATAGAATAAGCTGCATTTTCCCTCACTCAGTTACAATAGTCCCTGACTCGGTGGAGGTGAAAGTGGCTTGTTCATGCCCATAGCCACCTGCAGTGTCCCTTCAAGGCATTCCTCACTATTGTAAACTATGGCCTTCTGTGACCATTTCATTCCTTTTCTGTCTACTGGGCCGTGAACCCAAGAGGGCAGATACTGTTTCCTCACTGGTGGGCGCACTAATAAAGAGAAATGCATAAAACTGTCCCTGCTCCTGAGTGGCCCTTACTGAGGTTTGGATTCTCACTCAGATTTAGGGTAAGGTGCTGGCACACAGGTCCTGGGTCATTTCCTAAATGGAATTATCAGGATGGCTTCATGTGATTTTAGCCTGATGTTCTCTCTCAACCTTTCCCAGGCTGGAGGTAAGGGTGAGGTAGGATCCAAGACTGGCAGGCTGAGCCAAGTCTGTAAGATTGAGGCCAAAGGGTAGGGGCAGAATCAAGGGGGGCCTAGGTGGAGCTTTACCTGGGCTTGTGGGGACCCGACACTGTGGGCATTTGTGCTTATCAATCTGTGAATGTGGGGTCAGTGGCTTAAAGAGCCAGAAGACTGGGTCTGAATTTACCAGACTGGACTTTACACACTATGAAACATTCATAGCAAAGCAGGATAGTGACCTCCTCTCTGTTTGCAGGTTACTACCGGTATTACAACAAGTATGTCAATGTGAAGAAGGGGAATGTTGCTGGAGTTTCTATGGTGCTGGCAGCTTATGTGCTTTTTAACTACTGCCGTTCTTATAAGGAACTCAGTAAGTGTTTCTTGTGTTACCTTATCTTCAGTGGGGTTTCCCGTGAGGGAGTGGCATTGGTTCATTGTCAGATTTAGAAGTCCATCATTTTACTGACAGCTGAAGAAGTGGAGGGACTTGTCAGAATATAGTACTTAGGATATTATTTTAAGTGAGAAAATTATGGCAAAGAGAACATACACAGGAAAAATAAGATGAAGCTGGGGTAAAGGTAATACTTAGGAAGCATTCTGCCAAAGGCTGATGGGAAATTTGGCTTCATTTTCTTAGCAGAGAGGGAAAGAAGTGGGATAGTCTGGTGTCTGTATAATGCTCTGGAAGCGTAGCTGTTTCTGGTCCTGAGACCCAGGAGGAGCTTGTCCAGTTGGCCGTCCCAGAAAGCGTCATTGGTGGCCACTGATTGGGTTTATGGCTGTTGGTCTGAGTGGGAGTTCCTTCTGGGAAGGGAGAGCCTGGCCAGGGGGACAGATGAGCATTTGAGATGCCTTCTTGTCTCCAGGTCAGCAGTTGGGTTCTGGGTCATTTCCTGAAAGTTCTTAGGATGCCTTTATGTGATTGTAGTAGCCTAATGTTCTCATCTAGTGCTTTCACTGCTGCACATTTTAAGGAACTTACCATTCTGCTTTTCTAACTTTAGAACACGAGCGGCGACGCAAGTACCACTGAAGAGGACCCAGTGTGGACTCCGTATTCCTGACCATTATCTTTGCACAGCACCTCTGCATCCTTTCATATTGTAACTAACACCTAATAAATGGCTAGTACTGGGCTCCTTCACTGCTTTGGCCATTTCCCTGCCCTCCAGGAGGTCCCCTTGCACAGGGTGGGATGATTGCTTTACCACTCCCAAAGGGGGGACTTAGTCTTGGGCTTTGAGCCATGATGCCTTGGGCACCCACATCACACTCATCAGCTCAGCAGGTGGGGGGTCACTTAGCACCACACTTTAAAGTGTTTCCCGGCTCTTTGCCTTGAGTGTCCTAAGCACTTTTGGCCTTTTGTCACCTGACACTTTCACTGTATAAAGCAGCTCAGACTTCCAAGATTGCCTTTCCCACCATGTTCTGCATTACCTGGGGATATTACACTTGAAGGTCAGTGGGATGATCCACAGGAGGAAAAGTGCAGGCCCTGAAAGCCCTATCCAGGGGTGTCCAACCTGCAGCCCATGGGCTGCATGTGGCCCAGGGTGGCCACAAATACAGCCCAACACAAAATTGTCAATTTACTTAAAACCTGTGCCTTGCTCATCAGTTTTTGTATTTTGTGTATTTAAGGTGTGGCTCAAGACATCAAAACTCTTGTGGCCCAGATGCCAAAAGGTTGAACACCCTTGCATCCAGAACTCTTACCTATTTTCATCAAAGGTCTTTAGTAAGTGACATGAAGGTCATAACCAGTTTCTTATTGAGGGGGAGTATAGTGAGCCTCTACACTGCAGAGTAGAAGAGGGTGTGACACCTGAATCTGAGTAAGTATCATCCAGCATTTGAAATGAAATGAGACCTGCCAGGTGGCTGTTCCAAAATCCAAGCTTCCAGACTTGTAGCTGTCAGTAAAAAGGCCTTTTGTTGGTAGCCTCACTTCCCTTCTGGAGGTTCATTTTTTGGAAGGGGACAAGCAGGCACCAATGTCAAAGCTGTGTGCCAGGCAGCTAGTGCAGCTACTAGCAAGATCCTTTCCTTGGCATGGAGTGTCTTAAGTAATGAGACACAACTTAAAAAACAAGCTTTAATCAACCTCATAAAAATGGTTCTTATAATTGAACTTGGATAGGCCCCCTTGCCCAGCAGGCTCCAGGTGGTTTCACATTTCCAGGCTCAGGGTGGTCTCCATAGGCCAAATGTGTCCAAGTGACAGCAGACACTTGATGGGGCAGGAGGTAGGTGCAAAGGTGGACTGCATCATCTATTTAAAGGGTTGTCTGCAGCTCCAGTTTAAGGTATACCTTAACCACTGTCAAGTATGTGCCCCAAGAAAATAAGCCCAGAGGAAAACTGCACCCTCACACTTGTGAGCCCTGCACCTCTCAATTCTTCCTACCTTGCTTGGAACAGGACCAGGCTGAGGCAATAAGTCCACTTGAGTTTGCCCTGAAGGGCTGCCTTGTTCAAATCACATTGATAGGCACAGCTTCTAAATTCAGCAGGACATGGAGGAAGCAGGCATGACCTAGCTGCAGGTTTAATGATCCACCAGACCTTGGGGTCACCAAGAACTGGTGTTTAATGAGGATTGAGGGGAAGGGCCTTCTTTCATACATAACTGCTTAGCACAAGCTCTTCCCTGCAACTTCCTCCCCTCTCCAGAGGGTGGTGTTCAGGAAGTCCCAGACAGGAAGTGTTGATGCCTAGACAAACATGATGCTGACTTGAGGGACAGAAATGGAGCACATGTCCCTTCTTCTTTTTAAATTACAGCAAAATGATAGGGAAACTGATAAGACAGAGCCCCTTATACTGATAAACCCCAATGTGCTTGCCTGCCAGCTCCAGCCAGAGTTGCACTAACACTGGCATTGAACAGTTAAATGCACACTTCCAAGGACGGCCCAGAGTGGTCTCCAAAATGGGGCCCCTTGGGCTGTTCTGAGCTGTCTCCAGCTGCTGTCACTGTCCACTGAGAAAGGCCAAGTGCCCTTTGGTGCATCTGTTGGCGTAGTGTCCTTTTTCACCACACTGGGAATGGCAGGAAAGGAAGAAGACAAAAAAAAGAAAAAAGTTTTCAAATGCAGTTTTCAGGTAAGGCAGCACTCACCAAATACCAGGTTGGGAACGGGGACTCCAAAACTCTGTGGTACAGACTTTCATTCAAATACAAGGGGAATGGAACTACAGCAGGTACGTGGAACAGAAACTGTAGCCAACAACTTGTCAGGTGGAAGACAGACTCCTGCAGCCAGAGGACGATCTGAGAGCACACAGCAGGGAGCCCCTTCAGCCAGCTGGGCACAGGGGCCTGCCCACAGAAGGGCTCCATGGTGGGTGGCGGGATGAAGAGAAGCCCACGGCTCCAGAGCTCCCCCACCTGTCCAGGAATCAAGCCCTTCTGCGTGGCTGACCAGTCACTTACCTCTGAGGCACCGATCTGGGACTCCCTGGAGACGGGAAGGAGCAAGGAGAGAGAAGCCACCTGGCTCCTTCCCCGGTGCAGGGAGGGATTCACTGCTGTGGACACTGGGTATGCGCTGCACCCAGATTTCCCCTCTCAGTCCTTGCACATCTGCCTAAGCTACCCATGGGGACAGGTTTCAGTCACAGAGTCAGAGACAGGGCAATGGTTAGAATTGGGTGAAGAGACCTGGTAAAATCACCTCAAAAATCTATCAATGACCCTGATTTGTCCCAGCTCTAAAGATCCAGTCTGCCTTAAAACTTCCCTTCGTTCAATCTTGTTGCTACTCAAAAGCAGAATTCTAAGAAAGGAGGTGAATGGCAGCCTCAAGCACAGAACAAGGGGTCCAGAGGTGGTAGGGGCACCCGTCCTGCACAAACCCAACCCGCACCCTCCCAGTCCCTGCTTCCTCAGCCTGGACTGTCGGGCTCTACTTAGTCATCACTACCACCCAGAATTCTTGGCAGCTCTACACTTGAGCCTGTCATCCTCGTGTTTTCAAGTCTTTCTTGTCTCTATGTATGACCTGTCTGGTAGAGTGGCCTATGTAGCTGCCAGTTAGTCCTTCGGCTGATGTGATGACCAGACCAGAGTGAGAGACTACATGGGCCCATTCGTAGCACTTAGCATGTCTGTCAGCCTCCACTGCTGATCTTGGGTAATCCAGGATTCCCACATGGCGTCTTTAATACCGACTGTAAAGGCCCCTGGTAAGAAGAGGTTGGCAGGTCCCCACCCCAGCTTTCTAAGGTTCCAGGACTTAGGAGAGCTTGCTTTCCAGAAGCCCTGCTGAAGAGTCCCGCAGAGAGGCAAGATGACAGCTATACTGCTTCAGGACACCTAAGTTTCCTTACTGTACTTGAGAACTGACTGGTTGGAAGCTGCTCAGCACAGGGCAGGAGCCCCCATCTACCTCACTTTCACATCCCTTTCTCACTTTCACTCTGTACTCTCCTCAGCTGTTCTGGCTCAAGCTCAGAAATCTGAGGTCTTCCCTGAATCCAGGTGCATTTTAACTTCAGTGTCTCTGGGCGCTGGCCTTGCCCTTTCCTTAGAACAAGAATCCCTCCTGGGGAAGAGCAGTCTTTGTTTCCTCAGCAGAACTGGCACAGAGCACGTGCCCAGTGAGTGTCTGACTGACTTGAGAAATACCCAGGGGATCGGCTTTTCTATGAACATTTTAAATATATGCCTTTTGACTTGGATCTTGTAATTGCAGCCACGGATGCTCCTGACACCATCAGACAAGAGCTCACAAATATCTAGATATCAGATTCAGCACTGTTTTTAGCTGCAAAAATGGTAATTTAATTGTCTGACAGACAACTGGTAAAATAAATTATAGCTATTTATACAGTCACTGAAAAAGACAAGATTTACATATACTGATGTAGATCTACAATACATTGTAAAGAAACAAACAAAAAAAAGAATACAGAACATTATACATACCAGGCCCCGCCCCATTTATATTAAAACACAAGCTATCCTGGTATTTGTGTTAATAAAAGTTTAGAAGGGCAGTTTTCCAAGTGGGGTCCAGACCCCCTCAGCAGTTCTGAGGTGTAAAGGGGTACCAAAAAACAACACCACAATGGTGAGAAGAGAATACCCTGAATAACACAGCTGTTTTAGAAAAGGTGGGAATATGGGACAACACTCACTTTGTATCCTAAACACTTGTATGTCATCAATAAGTTTTTTTAAAAAGCATGTATTAACTTTGTATTTCTTCTAACAATTCCCAATCTGAAGTCTTTGTAAGTCTTGTTCAATTACTGATTGTTTCTACCGACTCACTTGGTAGTGCTTTTTTCCTCCTATGTTCTGGGATTTTAAATTGTGCACTCATTGTTTGGAATTCTAGCTGTGGGAATTCTGTGTGACCTGGGCTGAGAATAAATTCCTCAAAAAGCCAGGTGCCAGGAGCCAATCTGGGACTGTTTTAGCTTAGAAAACGAGCTTTTCAGCACTTACCAGTGATGATAAATTCTCAAGGGGTTACCCCCACCCCTTTCCATCCACAGTCAAGAATAACAACTTTCCTAGTGGGATTTTAAAAAGTTTACTCTTTCCCTGAGTATACTATTGTGTGTGTGTGTGTGTGTGTGTGTAGGGGGTGAGAAGGGTATTCTGATTTCTCTGTGTGGGCCTAAAGCTTTGCATGGCTCCCTTGAGTATGCCCACATGGGATTTGAGGACAACCAGAGGCTCCAGGGCTCACCCTCATCCCTGGATTCCTGCTTCTACTTTGTGCCTAGCCTCTGAGAAATTTCCCTCCCTTTTTTTCAAGTGCATCCCATTCATTGAACAGTAAGTGTTTAATCGTTCACCTGGTCTTGGTGTGTTGTGGCAAAGTCAAATGCCCCACCGGTGGCCTACTTTTACTTTCACAGTCAGCAAAAACAAAGACTTTTCATTGTCAAAATGAACTATCTGGGGAGTGTGGGAATGGCTGCTGACTGTGAAGACCCTTCCCTGTCCCCCAACCCCAAGACTCACCTTGTAACACGTGACCTGCTCCAGCGGCCGGGGTCCCCTGTTGCCTGCACTGCTGTTTTGACTCTGCATGACCCCGATGACCTGCGGGGCTCTCTGCTGATTGGGAGAAGAGTTCTGACTCGTTAACTGGATCAAGGAGGACGACCTTTGTAATGGCGGATTGTTACTTTGCTGGAAAGAGTTACACAACACGGTTTTACTGTGGAAAACACGTGCACGCGGACCACCAACGGGGACAGGAAAAAAGAGGGCGGGACTGCTCCCGCATGACCAGCTTCTGCAGTGGCCCTGCTCAGGAGAGCAGGCAGAAAAGAATTATCTGGTGATGATGGCAGGAGCTGCTGCCCGAAAATACCATGCAGACACACAGAAACGAAAAATAAAAGTAGAAAACAAAACACCAAAGAGACAAGGAGGTCTCTGGGGCAGTGGGGCGAGGGCATGAGCAGGCCTTACTTTTGTTTCTGAGGTTCTAGCTTCAGGTCAGGATGAACGCTTGGTTCAGCCAGATGTTTAGCAGCCTACACGGCGAGCGACAGTCACAGAAAAACAGTTGGAGGCTGACACACTGACCTGCGATCTAGGGGCTGAGAGGGCCCTCCTCTAGGGAGTCATGTGAGCAAGGGGGATGGGGGCTGCTGGGCTGGGGACTGGACAGCAAGGCCACCTCCCAACCAAGTGGTTTCTGGCTCTGGCCTTTTATAAAGGTTATAAATGCAGGTACCCAGAAATAGAAACACCCAGGTTTTCAAGGCTGCACCCACGCCAAGTAATTCCCAGCTTTGCTGAAAAGGAATTCTATCTAATCTGCCCCATAACCTCTTGAGAGTGGGGGTCAGTGTAGCAAGTGCAGACATGTCTTCTGGCTGCTCAGCCTCCAGCACTGAGGAGGATCTGGTGGGGCTTTGGACACAGATTCAGAGTCCAGCCAGGTAAGAGATAAGGTTGAAGACTGATGGGTGGGTTTGCTCAGCCTGTTGAGACACTGCCTAGTTCACTGGCTAGCACTATCTCTGTGCTACCACCCCTACTCCAGTAACCAAACCCAGGGTGCGCTTGGTTTTGGGGAGGCTGCTGCAGATTCCCACTTGTCCATGGCAGTTCCCTCTTTCCTCCTGCTTGACGGGAATCAGCTGGGTTTTAAGACCCGCCTTGCCTAGACAATGGAGTCGGCTGGTCCTTCAGCCCTCTATTCCCAGCCTTCCCTGCAGTTGGGAACATCCACACAGAGCGATCACAGCACTAGCCAGAGAACTAGCCAGCCTTGGTTCTGCGCCCAGATCTGCTCCTGCCCAGCTGTGGCACCTCAGGCAAGCCCCTCCATCCACCGCAAGAGCAGCAGACACATGGCACTCAGGCTGCCTTCCACTGCGGTCCCCAAGGTGGGCTCGAGGAGGGTACTGCTGAGCCACCAAGGCACGTGCCAGGCAAGGGAGGAGAAATCAAGTGGGTGTTCAACTCCAGCAGACAACCCTCCATCTCTAGAGGCAGATGCAAACTGCTTTGCTCCCCGAATTTTCTGCTGGAACTCAGGAAGACTCCCCTCCTGTCCCGTATCCTCCAAGCCCTCTCACAAAGCCTCCAGCCGGGTCTGTGACAGACCACGCATCGATGGCGGCACCAAGTTCTCTGCAGCAAGGGCACTGCCAGGGCCGGCAGTGCCACAGGGCCGAGGAAGGACCAAGACACAGTACCTTGGTTGGAGGCTGCGTCTGCTGTGGCAGTGGGGGCTGCTCGGTGGTTCCCATTGGCAGTTCAAATCGAGGGCTGGTCACCCAACAGCCAGGGGGGGCAAGAACAAGAGAAGAAAAGACGAAAGAAGCTAGGTCAGGTGGCATTCTCAAATTCTGGCTAAGGGACTGTCATAGTCACTCTTTACCCAAGCACAGAACACCACACACCACCCGGACTCAGCTCTGCCCCTGAGGCCACAGGACAATGGGAAGAAGAGATGCCTGTTCTGCTGATACCTGGCTGAGACCTGGGCAAAGTGATGCTCCGAGAAATGAATGAAACAGCAACTGGTTATCATCAGAGGGCGCAAGCCTGCTCCACAAGGGGCTGTGAGCATGAAAAGCCCTTCCAATACATACCTTTTTCTGCAAGGTCTAACTTTCTCTGACAACAGAGATTCCCTGGGGGACATGCCTGCCTACCCCTTAAGCAGGAATCCCTGGGCCATCCGTGGGCTCCTGGGCATTCATCTAGGCAGTGGGACCAAGCCAACAGCACTGACCACCTGCCAATCGAGTGGCAGCAACCAGGACACTGCTCCTGTACAGGTGTTGGCAGCGCAGATGGAGGCAGCACAGGAGGCGGATACTACTCTGTATCCCCTCAACCACCCGAAGTGACAGGTGTGCTGAGGCCCAGGAAGAGGAGCACTGAGCCTGATAGGCAAGAACTTGGCTTTGGAGGCCTGTAGACCTGCCTTTGAGCAGGTACCATCTCCTGCTGCCACATAACTCTGGCTAGTGGCTGAGCTGTCACAGTGCTCTCATGTGTGAAATAAGTCATTCTCTTCCATACTTGTGAGAGTTACAAGAACTAGTATATGTGAAACCCTAAGCTCAGTATCTCCCATACAGGAGACCTTGACACTGTATAGTTTCCTTCCCTTAGGTCCCAGGTTCCTAACCTGAGGGCCCTAAATTATAATGCAAGGCTATGTGTACGTGAGTTTGTCCGGAGCATGGGCCCATAGCTTTCATCAGATTCCCTGATGGCTGTGCCCAAAAAAGGTTAATTGCTAGACAGAGCCACCTCTGGGCTCAAAAAGCAGCAAGGGTCCCTCTCCAACCTTCACCCTTGTCCTGGGCACTGTGCTAACACCACCCAGTGATCAAACCCCAACTGAGCTCAGGGAAGAAGTACAGGATAGCACAAGAGCAGTGTGGGAGTTGGGGGAAGAGGGGCTGGCTACTCACTGCATGAATTTACATGAGGGCCCCTCCGGGCAGAATCCCACGAGGTAATTCACACAGATAACTCTCCGCGTGTGCCGGTGCCTACACAGGGGACCTGTGGAGCCAAGCGTCAGGTCACTCAGACCATCTCCTCTTTAGGGCATGCCCTCGTGCCCCTCCGCAGTCAGAGTGCTGCCCAGACCACCGTGTGGGGCACAGAGAGCAAGGGCAGGGCTTCAAACACGGGCTTTGACTCTCATTGATAGGGGACACTAGGCAGGACACACAACCTCTCAAATACAAGTTTCCTTATCGAAAAAGCAGTCCACACAGAGCTTTGGGAGGTTCAGGCGAGCTGAGAGTGTAAAAAAAGCCTCACTAACTCTGGCTGAGATGGCTCAGTGTATCGAATGCTGGTCTGTGAACTGAAAGGTCACTGGTTTGATTCCCAGTCAGGGCACATGCCTGGGTTGCTGGCCAGGTCCCCAGCTGGGGGTGTGTGAAAGGCAACCAGTCTATGTATCTCTCGTATATTGATGTTTCTCTCTTTTTCTTTCTCCTCTCTCTAAAAGTAAATAAATAAAATCTTAAATAAAAAAGCCTCACTAGCCCCCCAAATGCCTAATACCATTTTTGTTGGAATAGGCAGGACAGGTAGAGGGTCATGTGAGCAGAGGAAAAGAAGACTGGCTTCTCGCAAGGGGGTCCAGCCACTCTGACACCTACCATGCTTGCAAAAGCCACGGTCGTACCAAGGGCAGTCCTTGATCTTGGACTCGGGGTCGATGTGCAGAAAGGGGCACTCCTTGTTGCTGCACTCTCCTGCAGGGAGAAATCCAGACATGTGGCCACCTGGGGCAGCTCTGGAAGAGGTGGACCCAGACCCACCTCGGTTTCTCCCAGGCCGGGGCCCACAGTGTGGCAAAGAGGGCCCAGGTGGTTCTGGCGTCTGGTCCCAGCCTGGTGAAGCCTGAGACTCAGAAGAGTGCCTCAGAGCCTCTGTTTCCTGACCTGTATATGCACTGTGAAGATCCTCCCCTCGTATGTGTCCATTCTGCCACAAGGGTCAATGACATTGACAAAGGTGGGCAAAGGGTATACACTTATTGTATCAAATAACTCATGGCTCCATCCCTTACCCAAAGATGGTGCCCCGGGCCCTTTGGTGTGCTCAGATATGCAAACGTACCACTTGAGGCCAGGAAATTACTAATCTACTCTGATCAGCTTTTCACATGCACTAGTTGGGACAGGGGAAAGATCTGAGGAAAAGGGAAAAGTTTACCTTTTAGGACAAAAATAGGGCAGATTTGAAAACTCAAGGCTGGGTCCCTATGATAGAAGGCAATGAAGCCTTTCTGACGGGAGCTGTCTCAGGAGCAATCAGCCCAGCTGCCACCAGCACCTTTCACCCAGTTCGGTTCAGCCACCTCCGTGCTTGCCCTTCCTTTCCAATCTATGTTACACACAAAAGGCCAGTCTGGGAAAATGCATACTCCTCCTCAGACCCACAAGTGTCCACGCGGTTTCCCCTACCCCCGCCGCAGTCTCCTCCTCTTCTCCAGCCACACTGGCCTCCTCGCTGTTCTAAGACAGACAGCCCTCTGCCAGGACTGGCCCCTGCTTAGCCTTTGGATCCCAGCTCAGGTCTCACATCCTCAGAAAAGCCTTCCCAACCACTCTACCCAAAGGAAATTCCTCATGTGGATCCATCACTGTTTATCTCCTTCAGAACACTTATTGTGCACAATTCTCTTTATCTGTCTCAGTGGCATATAAGCTGCCTCTTTCCCTGGGCTACTAGAGCAAAAGCACCATGGGGCAGGCAATGCGCCTGTCTTCTTCACCACTATCTCTTCAGGGCCTAGAAGGGGGACCCTCACCTGCGTCACCAGGTGAAAGGAGCTACAGACAGTGTGTCTGCACCAGGTCAGGCTCTGCAGGGGAATGGCAGGCAGGGATCTGTTGCAAGGGTAGTAACTTGGGGGAGGGGATTGGGGGGGTAGGCAGGGGTGCTGGATCGAGGATCACCAGCAGAGAAGTAAGGAACCCAGGCCAGCCTGCAGAGGCTCCCCGGAGAACCTGCCCATGAGGGCTGGCGCCGGCCTTGGGGGCCAGTTGTGAGAAGGCTCCCATGGAGAAGCCGCTGCTTCCTTCTGCCCTGGTTCCAGTGCTGCTGGGAAGGAGAGGGGGCTGGGAAGCCCGAGTCCTGTTTCTGTCTGTGCTGTGACTTCAGCTTGTGCTGCCTCTTAAAAAAGAGCCACAATTGTAATTAATTAGCCAGCCGGCCAAGCCTGTTGGTCTGCTGAAATAATTAGCGTCTCCTCTGACAATACTGCTTTGAGAGCGTCCAGCAGGTCTGGCAGTCCTCGGCCTACCACAAAGGGTACAGCAAGCCTCCAGCCTCCCACCGGGCCTCTGCAAAGGGCCTGGAGTCAGCAGTACTGAGGCAAGAGTGGGCCTTCACCCTGACCTGCAAGGCCTTTTCCTGGTCAGCCTCACTCAAGGCACAGAGCCAGGAGGTTCTAGTTCTATCGGAGAGCACAACCGTCTGGCCGAGCCCTGTGCCAGCCCCATTTCCCCATGCAGTTCACTCAGCACAGCTCAGACCACGTGTTCTCTGAAGCAGTGGCAATCTCAGTTGCAAGGTGAAGAGTAGGGCTATCTGTCACCAGAATATAAGCCCCCCAAACTTGCTATTCTTAAGGGATATTTAGGACAGACAAGCTACTGCCTGGGATCACATGCCCAGAGAGAAGAAAACAAAACTCTGGCCGATCCGTTGCTACACAGTTAGAAGCTGATTTAAGGGAGATGGTTGACTTGAGCAGAAACAAGGCTTCCAGCCAGCTGCACTATTCACCCATCTACTTGGAGACCCTCATTAGTTTCCAATTCCCAAAAGTACCTGAAAGTGCTCAAAAAACAGAAGTGGTACAAAGATGTAGGAATTACTAGAGAATAATCATAACTTCCCATGACTAATGGGCCAGCTGAGGTTGGAGGGCAATGTCTAAGGTTCTCATCTGGAGCCAATAAGGATGGGGGATGGCAGACACTGTGGGTGCCTGAGCAGCTGCTTAATTGCTCTGGGTTTTGGTTCTTGGTGGAGTCTCCTCAGGGCTCCTGATGTGCAGAGATTCTGGGTGCAGGGAGGGGCCTTGCCACACACCTTACAGAACTGCCTTACCAAACTTCGAGTAGAAGTAGCACTCAGGCATCTTGGTCATATCATACTCGTGCAGGAACTCACACTGGTCCCCCTTCTTACACAGTCCCCGTAGCCAGTGTTTGCACACCACTGTCTTCTCACCACTAATGTGGCGAAATGGGCACATGCCCCCTGTGGAGGAAGAGAGAGCGATACGGCCCTGAGCCCAGGGGCACTGGGCCTGGGGGAGCCAAGGTGCCTTCTCCCAGTACCTCCCTGAAACACCCAAAAGCAGCATGTCCCAGAGGGCACCAGTTGCCCCTGGCAGAAGGCAGTGCGACTTTAGGCAGTACAGGGGCACACGTTTTTAAGTTTAAATAGATATGTATTTTATTTTAATGTGTTTCAGTAAAATCTAACTAAAACATCATGATTTCACAGATTTTACTGTAAGATGGAGACTTGACAAAACCAATGGTGGCGTGAAGGAGGAGTAAGTTTATTTCTTTATTTAATTAAAAAATAGTTCCAGGATCCACTAACATGGCAAAAATTGTAGGGGTAGTTAAAGAAAGACTGGGGTTCGGAGAACACAGCCCCAAAAGACAGAAGGTAAAGAGGAGCGCCAGCAGAAGCCTGGACTTCAGGTAGGCTCCATCTTCAGTTAAATTGCCTACCTAACCTCTAATAACTAAGAAAGAAGATCACCTACAGAATTAAAGAAATGCATTGCACAGACACTGGGGAAGGTCTGTCTTCTGCAGCAGGAGCTGAGTGATCATCCACTCAGACAGGAGAAAACCATACTCTGGGAAAGTCATAATTCTCAACAGTGGCCTGGTGGGACTCCTGGGAAGGCCCGACCACAATAAGGTTGCGACTGGAAAAGATCTAGACTGGTCCCATCCAACAGAACTTTCTGCAATGGTGGGAATATTCTACATTTATGCTGTCCAATAATAGCCACATGTGACTATTAAACACTTGAAATATGACTAGTATGATTGAAGAACTACATTTTTAATTTTATTTAACTGATTTAGATTTGAATAGCCACTTGTGGCTAGTGACTATGGTATTAGTCAGTGAAATGATGGCTCATGTTAAGGACAGCGTGGTAACCGATGGTGGCAGGTCAGAAAGGCAGAAGTACTGAGTAAGGACAGAGGAGTGAGAACAGAGGCAACGATGATCCAACTAGCTCAACGGAGAGGTAAATGACTGAGTTATAGAACCAAAACTTGCCAAAATCAGCCATCAAAACCAACCATGCTCTAATTTTGTGCTCCCTATTCAAGCTTGTAATTGAAATTTAGTTTCCAAATAAATTTGCCTATAGAAGGAAAAGTGGCCAGACCTACCTACAGTATGTGAGGTCCTGCCCAGCTGATACTTTTCCTTATGAATAGTCTGGCTCATGTAGCCTCTGTGGGGGCCTGGTGAGTATGAACAATACTCCATGAGACAAGACTACTGTGGGGGGGTTTTGATGAGAGGACACGGAGGACAGTGAGCCTGTGCAGACTGTAGTGAACTCAGCCACTCACTAATTCTTTGACCTTGAGAAAGTTCCCAAACATCTCAGTGCTAGGAACTTCTGTTCATGTCACATGGGTCAGCTTCTGGCCACAAGGAAAGTGAGGTGAGAAGGCTGATTCAATGCTGGTTAAATCTGGTGTTTTAGGTTTTAGGCAGAATACCCCATCATGTTCTTAGCCTATCCAAACCACAGTTTCATCTTGGGATACTGTTAGCGTGGAGAAGGCACTGTAACCCAGAGTCCTGATGGCCTACATGTAAGTCTGGTAGGGGGCAGAATGGTGGATGGCCCCTCAGGAAGAACATAAAGGAACCAGGGGTTTCTTACCTTTGCCACAGGCAGCTTTCAAAAAGAATTCACAGACAGCAGCCCCTGACTCTGTAGAGAGGAGGGAAAAGGAGAGAGGTCAAACGAAGCAGGGCACAATTGCTACCAGTGACATCTGAAGACAGGGAGAGGAAATGCTTCTGACCTTTGACCTATGAAGGGTTCATGATACAACAAATGGACAAAATAATGCAAAACCCCCAAAACAAGAAAAAAATTGCTTATTTCAGTCATTCTCTGCAAAATGAGACATACATGCTGAGACCAGTCATTATTCAAGGCTTTCTGAGAGCCTCCTCTAATAAAGATGCTTTCAAGGAACTAGGAGTGAGTGGGGGAAGAATGGAGCACAAGATCATCGAAATTAATTACTTTGTACCTGGACCTTCTAGAGGGCTAATGTGAGGTAGAGAGAGGGAACAATCTCATAGAAAACGCAAGTGAATGGGGACTCTAAGGAGGAACAGGCTCCAGAAAGAAGCTACTAGGGAGGGGAGAGAGTAAATGAAGAAACACAAGCAGGACGGCTCTTAAATTGCATATTAATATGCAATACCACCACAATTATTAAAGGAGCAATCTTTTGCTTCTACACATGCAACTGGTTCAGGTGAAGGGACCAAGAGAATACAGGCTGACTGCATGCAGTAGATGTCGGCTCAGGACAAGCTGTTTCAATGAGCCCAGTAATTTACTGCCCTTGGCTACCAGAATAAACCTCCGGTTTCACAGTTTTCTCTATCAGCAAGCGTTTCAGAATTGCTGAAAACCCAGCATCTCTGAAGGCCACTTTCGTGCCTCCACTTGCTAACTTGCAAGGGATCACTTGGATCCTGGGGAGCAGGAAGATTTTGCTGGGACGAACTTAAGGTGGTGGAACTGGGAATCCTGGAGGTGTCAGTCGTTTGCATTTCAAAAAGTCTGAAAAGGGAGCTCAGGCAGATGCCTAAGTGTGATGAAAAGACCCAAAGTTGGAGTCCAGAAAACAAGTGAGGGATAGGCTACCAGAGGTGTAGGGGAATGGAGCTTGAAAGTCTAATTGGGGGTCTTCTGTAGGAGAGGTGGTTCTCTCGGCCAGACTCTCCCAACGGCCCAGTTTTGATGAAAGCAAGAAGAGGGCCATCACAGTGGGGGCTGGATTGGGGAAGGGTGTTATACAGTACTTTCCTGTAGCTGGCGAGTGTGTGGGGGTGGAGGAAGGTTTTCCAACCCAGGACACCCGCCTTCATTCAGTAATTACTTTTAACAGCCAAACATGATCTTGCCCTCCAGAAGACTGCCTTAAGCTAGCCCCAGGGGTTCAAAGATCCGAGGAAGGTGGGTTACGGAGTCCGAGTCCCAGGACCATGGGAGACGGGTCCCGGTCTGAGTCAGTTGCGCCCCTTGCCCGCCGACCCCCGGCCCCACGCTCACTGTCCATGCCCGGGAAGGGCAGCGGCTGTGCCCCTAGCTGCTGCTCCACCGCGATCTCCAGGTCGAATTTGATGTGGTCCACGCTGGCGATGATTTCCTGCATGGCGGCGGCGGCGGCCCCTCCGGCCTGGCTACTTCCCAGTACCTTGCCACCCTCACACCTCCACCGGCCACCTTCAGCCGACACGGCGCACTCCTCCGCCTCGCCTCGCCTAACCTGGCCGCCGCCGCCGCCACCGCCGCCCGAGGTATGCCGGGAGCGCCCGGAGCCCGCGCCGGCCTTCCGCCTGTTCAGACCTGGCCAATCGAGCGCGGAGTAGGGGCCGCTCTGCTAGGATCGGCTATCTGCCAGCCGAACGTCAGTCTAACTTGTAACCACGTGCGGGAAGTTCGCAACGCACTCTGCGTCTGCACTGGCTCTGCCTGGTTTTTGTCACCGAGGGTGGAGGGGAGGGAGAAGTGGGTTCTACGCGCAGAGAGGCGAGGCGGCCGACGGCCCGGGCGGGTTCGACGGGGCACCCGGCCCGCGTTCACTGGCTGGACTCGGAGTGAGTTCCTATTTGGCCTTCACAGGAGCCCAGGATTCCGGCGGGGACAAGCCGGAGGGGCAACGAGTGTTGCAGGCAGGGTTAAGCTGGGGGCTTAAGCGGGGAGGAAGCCGAGGCTCTGAAGGCCAATGCGGAGAGGTTGGGGGTGGCTTGAAGCCCCGGAGAGAGGGAAGAGAGAGACTGTATTTCTAATTCAGGAGTTAGTATTAGCCTGGGCAGGTTAATGGACTTGGGTAGGAAGAAAATTACACCTTTATTGCTCCTGAGAAATTGAGCATTTCCTTCCATGACTAATGAGTAGTGTTAGCAGTGCTCAAAACTAAATCGTGATTTCAAGTGATTGTAAATGATAAAGTTATCTGCAACTACTACAGCTGTCATTTCCACTCATCACTCTTGGACATGACAGGATCTTGTTTTTAGTATGTTGAAAAAAAGCGCATATCCTACTATAGCGTAAGTTTGTATTTAAAACATTTGATACATATTTCGATATATTTTTTGTAATCCTATGTATTGCGTTGAATGCAGGTAAACACTTTAATGTGGTCACTTGAACATTTAAAATTACATATGTGCTCCTGTTATGTTTCTATTGGAGTTGCAGGCTTCATCAGACATGGAATGGTAAAGGTCTTCTGCATTAGTGTAACTAGGCTGTTAAGAGGCTGTCCTTGACATGAGATCAAAGCCAGCTCATCTCCACAGCTGACCAGCCTGGCCCATGACACTGGTGCAGGGCCCCCAGCAAGTCATTCCTCCCTGGGCCTTGGTTATTAATCTGTTCAATCTGCTGTCACCTCAGATCTTTCCTACAGTCATCTGATATAACTAGACCTTAAAGTATTTTCATGCTGGTTATTTTGATATATTTTTATGAAACAGTTTCAAGTATGCAGAGCATGACTTCTAGCCTAGCACACTATCCAACAGCAGTATAGTGAGAGCATGTTGTAATTTTAAATTTTCAAGTAGCCACATTAAATAAAAAGAAACTGTGAAGTATTAAATTTTCTTTAGCTCAATGTATCTAAAATATTGTCATTTCAACATGTAAAATAATTGTGTATTTTACATCTTTTTGTGAGAAGTCTTTGAAATCTGGTGTGATTTCCATGTTTCATGTGCTCACCTTGTTCAGTGTGCTCATTTTCACGTTTCATGTGGCTACTGTATTGTACAGCACAGCTCTAACTCATTTGTCCACAAGTTTCTGCAGAAAAGAAGTGTTTGAATTAGCTTTCCTGGGCAGTGACCCAAAATGCCAACATTTTTTCCTAATAATAAATGATAATAGCTGCAATTTTTGAACACCTATTAAATGTCAGGCATTGTGCTAAAAAACCGTATCTAATACTTTAACCTTGTGGTGAGGCGAGTGGGGTTATTCTCATTTTACAGCTGAAGAAACTGATGCACAGAAAGGTCAAGTAATGGTTATGGTTAGCAACTCTGGTCAGGTCTCAATCTCAGATCTCATTTCAGCACCCGTGCTATTAGATTATGGCTTGGTAATATCACTAGCTAACATCTTTAAGTGCCTACTGTGCTGAATGCTATATATCTGAGACCTCATTGAGTCATCGCCTCATTCAAACAGTGCTGTGTGGGTGATGTTATAGTTAACACAGTTCCAGTGTGAGGAGATTGAAGCCAGAGCAGTGAGTGCCTAGGGACTTGTGGATCATTTTTGACCGAGCTTAAGTCAGAACCTAGGCTTCTAACCTCAGGGCTCATGGCTTGTAACCACTTCTCTATCTTGTTTTTGCCTTTTTGCACTATGAACATGAGTTGACTTCATTATTTTTCTGATCTATGCCAGGCCTTGGAGGTAAAAGCCAGAGATGGACCTGGTGAGACTTGCCCGGCTCTTCTCCAGTCCCCGCCCCCTGGGACTGTCCATCCTGCAACACCTTGACCTTCTCAGAGCCAGGGGTGCAGGAGGTAGGCATGGGCCTGCATGGCTGAGGGCCATGGGGCTGACTGGGCCAACACCAGCAGCCTTCAGCAGCTCCCTCTCTCAGCTGCCCCTCCACCAAGGGAGCCAGAAGAACACACGCAGCCTCAGCTCTGACCCAAGCCAGCCCAGCTCCGTGGCCACCCAGGAGGAAGAGGAGGAAGAGAACTTTGGGACTCTCTCTGATAAATACTCCTCCCGGAGAATGTTCCGCAAATCGACGGACCAGTTGTATAACCTACGGCTTAGGGAACAATGTGAAGATGACGAAAGGGAGCTGGAACCAAAATCATGGCAGGGCCGGAGAAACACCCCTTACTGGTACTTTTTTCAGTGCAAACACCTGATCAAGGAAGGAAAGGTGAGGGAACCTTTGGATTCTGCTGCTCCTGGCTCCAACATCCCTGGATGCTCAGTACTTTGTGAGGGGCTGCCCTACCTTTTCAATCTCTAAAGGCAGGGGTGCTCAGGGTTCTTCTCTCCTCTGTCTTCACACACTCTGGGAACTGTACCAGTGACCCGCCGACCTCCTGGCTTTCAGTGCTCTCTTCATTGTAGCTCTCGCATTTGAATCTCCAGCCCAGACTTCCTGTGGATTCCCGATCTGCGTACCTAGCTTTCCGCTCACCATCTCCCTTTCTCCTACTCACACTGACCTGACATTTTTGTTCCCAACCTTGGTTTCCCTACACTTCCTTCATCTCACTAAATGGCAGCCCCATTATTCCCTTTGCCCAGGCCAAATGCCTTCAGATCATTCCTAACTCCTCTTTCTCTCACCAGCTCTAACTGCAGAATGTTGTCAGTCCTAATACTTCTCACAACAGCACTGCTGAGCGCCCAGGCCTAGCCTTCTGCTCGCCCACCTCAGCTATTCCACCTGTCCCAGGGCTCCCCCCCACTCATGCCACCTCCTGCCCAGATGCTGGCTCACAGCTCAGAGCCGTTCTGTTAAAGCATAAAGCAGATAGTGTTACTCCTTCCTCCCAAACTCCTAACGTAGTCAATGACACTGAAGATGTTTACTTCCTTAGGTATTGCTAATGACATTTCATTTATGTTTAAAATTCTCTTAGAGGAATGTGTTGAAGATTTTGTAAGTGAAAGGATGTCTGGAATTTGCTTGAAAAAAATTCTGTTTAGAGAGGAAGTGCAAGGTATAGATGAGACAAGGTTGGCCAAACGTTAGTATTCATTGTGTTAACACAGTTCTCTCCACTTTTGTGTACTTTTGAAATTTTTCATAATGAAAGTTGAGAAATAAAGAGAAGCAGAGTCCTTACAATGGCTTATGAAACCTGCAAGATCTGCCACCACCCCCTTCCACGTATCCCCCCCCCCCCTTACCTTGCCACCCTCATCCCCCCACTTACCCTCTTGCACCCACCCCAGACTCTGCTTTGCACCTTCAACTCCCAGGTACACTCCTGCCCCAGGGCCTTTGCAGCGGCTGTTCCCTCAGACAGCCATGGTGTTTCTTCGCTCACCACCTTCAGATCTTTGTTCACCTGTCACTTTCTGAGGTCCTGCTTGGCTGTCATCTCTAAAGCTGAATCTCCCACACCCTTCTTCTAGCACTTCACTGCTTCTTTTGTGTTTATAGCACCTGCCACCACTTGACATTCTAGATATTGTTCTTAGTTATCTCATTTGGTGTCTATCTTTCCAGATTAGAAGATGAGCTCCGTGAGGGAGCTCCCTCCCAGCAAATAGATTTTGCCTGGCATGTAGTAGGACTCAGTGACAACTGGTTGAATGAATGGATGAAAAAATAAGTAAAAGAGTGACTAAGGAGTCAAAGGGGAATGGGTTTACAGGTGGGAGTGTGGCAGAGACAGCTGTGGGCCAAGGGAGTTTGCAGTCGGAAGAAGCTAGTCAGCCAGGGCTGCTGCTGGACACCATGTCAGGGTGCTGTCGCTGTGAATGGCCCCTTGCGATTGTGCAGTACAGTGGCTCTGAGCATGCCCGCCAAACTGACCAGAGCCCAGCCTCCCATCCAGCTCAGACCCAGGGGGCAGGCACTATGGATGGGTCACCAAGGAAGCAAGGGCAAAATGGGTCCTGAGATCCATAGAATTAACATTTTTGAGGCTTTCTGAGTGCCAGGCCTTGACTCCGCAATAGCCCCACAGAGAGACCAAGGCATCTTTGGTCCCTACTCTCAAGGAGTTCAGCCTGTGGCTGGAGGGAAAGTAGCCATGGCAGTGGGGTTGAGAGCTCCTGCAGGTGGTGGGAGTCCAGTGGGCTTTCCTTCCTGGCTACCACAAAGCTCCCATGCCACAGAGCACAGGGACCAAGAGGCTGGTGGCAGAGGCTCAGGGTGGGTGTTTGGCTCCTGGGCATATCTGGTCTTGGGCTCCGTGAGGGTCACTCAATCTCAAACTCCCTCCCTCTGCTGAGGGTCTCTGAGGCCACCCTGAGCCTCCTCCCTTGTTTGCTCCTTCCTTCCCTAGTTGGCGGAGGCCCTGGACCTGTTTGAGAGGCAGATGCTGAAGGAAGAGCGACTCCAGCCCCTCGAGTGCAACTACACGGTGCTGATTGGGGGCTGCGGGCGGGCCGGCTACCTGAAGAAGGCCTTCAGGCTCTACAATGACGTGAGTCGGGGGGCATCGCGGTGGCAGGGGCAGACTCTAAAGAGCATGGGTTTGGGGACCAAAAACGGTCAGGCGTAGAACCTGAATGTGTCACTTGCTAGTACCTGACTCTGAGCAAATGATTTAACCTCCCCAACCT